CGACGCCTGCCTGGCCGAGCTCTCCCTGGCGCTCTCCGTCTCGCTGGACGTCAGCCTGGCCAAGCCGCAGCTGCAGAGCGTGGCCCTGGGGGTCTGGGGGCTGCACGCCGAGCTGCACGAGGGGCTCTTCCACAGCGAGCTGCTGCGGCGCATGGGCGGCCGTCCCGGGAAGGGGGCAGGTGAGGACCCCAGGGACCCTGGAGGCAGGAGTGGGTGGGCCGTGGGCCACGCAGCAGCAGCTCCTCTGGCCGAGCGTGCCCCTTTCCTGCCAGCTGGCGCTGCTCTTCCAAGGCCAGAGGGCCAGTGCCCTCGGCTTCTCTGGTGCCCGCTGGGGGTCAGGTGGGCAGGCCATTCAGACAGGTCAAAGGGGGCCAAGGGGGGGCTGCTTTGCCCCACATATCTGGGTCAGTCGGCTGGTGCTTGGGTCTTAACCGCCAATCAGTTGCTTAACCCACCTCCTGACTGGGCATCCTTTGCTGGTGCCCAGACGAATGCTGGGGGGTGTGGGCTCTCTCCTCTCCCGCCCCTCTGCTTCACGGGGCCCTGGGGGCTCTCTTCCCCCTCCTGCTGACCCCCAGATTCCCCGAAGGCCCTCGGTCTGGGCCTGGCCGGCCTGAAGTACCTGCCCTCGCGGCTGAAGGTGGATCTGGAGAACAGCAGCCTGGTCCTCTCCATGAACAGCCAGAAGAGGTAAGGGGCTGGCGGGTGAGGAGGGGGTCCGCTCTGCAGGCCTGGCCTTGGCCCTCCAACCCCCGTGCCTGCAGGGGGTGCCCCCGAGTTGCCCCGAGAGAGCCAGCAGGGGCTGTACACTCCGGAGGACTTTGGGGACCCCCACCCACCCCCACCCCAGGAGAGGCCGGACTCGGTTGGAGGCAGCTTCCGTCTCGCCCCCCCCCCCTGCAGGCACCTCAGCTGGACCCTGAAGCTGCTGCATTTCGCCCACCAGTGCGACGAGGAGCAGATCCCCCTGCGCAGCTTCACCCCCACCTGCGACCTGCCCCAGATGAGCGTCGAGCTGGTGCTGGAAGGCAAGTCGGAGGGGGGGGTCTCCGGGGGGCTCAGGCCGCTGGTCTGCCCTGCCCCAAACGAGCCGGTCCCGCTGGCCCAGAGGAAGGGGCGCAGGGAGCCCAGGGCAGGAAGGCCGTGGAAGGGGGGGGAGGGAGGGACTGCCTGCTGCCTTTTGGGTGGGGGCTGATTTTTTTCACACACCCCCCCCCTAGAAATTGGTCGGTTTAGGGACGGGGGCGTTCTTGGTCCACAAGCGCCTGAAAGCCCCCTCCCCCCCCACCACCCCCGGCTGCCAGCAAAATGAGCCTTACAGGCAGTCCTCGACTTACAACCAAAATGGAGGCCCCCCCCTGTTTCTGTTGCTAAGTGAGACATTCCTCAAGTGAGTTTTGTTCCATTTGATGACCCTTTCTTGCCTCGGTTATTAAGTCAGCAACACGGTCGTTAAGCGAGTCCGGCTTCTCCGTTGACTTGTCATAAGATCGCAAAAGGGGACGCTGCGACCGTCATAAATTGGAGCTGGTTGCCAAGCGTCCAGATTTTGATCCCGTGACCCTGGGCAGGCTGCGACGGTCATGAGCGTGAAAAGGGTCACCAGCCGCCTTTTTCAGTGCAGTTGTAACTTTGAATGGTTGCTAAACGAACCGTTGTAAGTCGAGGACTTTCTGTAGCCCTGGGAAGGGGTCCCCTGGTGGAACGCCGTGGTGGGCAGGAGCCCCGTTGATTCAGACACCTCCGGGTGGAGGAGGGAGACCCCTCAAATCCCCCCCGCCCCAGCTGGCCGTTTGCGCTGGGAGGGGTGGGTGGGGCCAGGCTGGGAAAGGGCACCACCGGGTGATCCCGAGGAAGGGGGGAGCCGTCCTCGTCCAGCTCAGCCCCGCTTCCTCTGCCCCCCCAGATGGGCTGCTGCTGTCCCAGAGCCGCCAAAGGATCGTGTGCCTCAACCTGTTGAAGGCCAGCCTGCAGGTGAGTCCCCTGCGGCCCTCGGGGTCTCTCCCCCTCCCCCGAACACTCCCCCCCACGGCCGCCCCTCCCTCCCTCCCTGCCTCTCCGCTTCTCCCCCTCGCAGGTCATGGCCATCGATGTCTCCGTGGCCGTCCTGCTCAACACCTGCATCGTCCACTACCGGCACCAGGAGTTCTGCCACTGGGCAGCCATGCTGGCCGCAGCCGAGCGCAGCCCCGCCTGGCCCCTCTCGGCCCAGCACAGCCCCCCCGGCCCCAGGTGAGTGGGCGCCGCCTCCCGCCACCCTCGCAGGGGGAACGCGGCGGGCGAGAGGCCGG